TTTAGACACCAAATATTTTACTTCTCTCGAAACCTGTTAGATCTCTCATGTTGCTTTAGAAACTTAAATATTAAAGTGTTGATTATAAGACATCTTTTTATAGTGGGACTGTATTAGTAATTAGCATTGAAATCAATCCTTTTTCATTGCAGTTTACTTCAAAATAAGAGTAGTTTTTATTAGGTGTTTACATTATTCTTTCCACTCCCTGTTATTTATTAAAATTGTATACATTTTCCAAGCAATAATCCTACAAATAGGGGGTTACAATAATAGAGAAATATCATGACCGAATTATTAAAATAATTAATCATAACCCCCAATTTGTTAATTTTCTGACAAGAATATACTCAAGAATTTGGTATAATTCTGTGACAGATCTTTGTTCTGTGACAATTTATAACAGCAGATAATCAATCTGGCACTCTGGGTTAAACAAATATTTATTAACAATGACACATTAAACAACACACAACATAGACATACTACATACAAGTTACACTATTAACAAATTTACACATTTAGACACAAGGCATCCAAGTGGCCTACATCCTAACCACCCAGAAAAACTCCAGACAGCTACAGTACCAAATATTCAAAGGCCAAAATAAGAGATAAAGCTGCCTTCTAGACCAAAGAGAATATGACCTACAGTTAAATCTCTTTCTCTGTAGACTCAGAAGCTAGAAAAGGAATGGGAGCCTATCTCCCTATTCTTAAAATGCACCCTACATCTTAGCAAAGATCTACTTGCTTTGAAGCCCCTGAGAACTGGAAATGTTGACATGAGCCAGATATTACCTATTGTATTTGATTCTTGAAGATACTTCAAAACATTATGAAAGGGCTATAAATGCAAGATTTCTGTAATGCTCTAATTGTGTATTTTGTACCAATGTAAGTTATTAATAAATTTAATATTAAACATTATTTTGATTGTTCTTTTCTTCACACATTTCAAGATTTGTGTTTCTTCTTAATTTTGGAGAAAAAAGCATTTCTTCATATCCAGTAGCTTATCCAGTCTCAGACATCCTTATATACTGTATATGTTTGCTCGTGAGACAGCTGCATGACAAAAGGGTAGTGTATCAAATAAAATGTGTCTTCCAACTGTTGCTGCATATTGTCTTACTTAAAAGTTTAACACTGATCCAGAGATGGGAGCTATATATCATATTACTGTAGTGGTTGACACGGCATGGAGTGCAGAGTTCACAATCATAATTCTTGAGTTGTCTTTCTAGTGTGTATTTAGCAGAAAAGCATCTCCGGTGAGCTGCTAAGGGAAAAATAACCCCTGAACTGCTTTTCTTTTTTTTGCTAACCTCCTCACCTTGCACACCATCTGATTTGATGAAGAAATGCTTGCGGTCATGTCCTTTTAACCTGAAAAAAATAAGCCTCCAAAATTCTCTCCCAGTCTTATCACCTTGCCCTAAAGGTCTTCTAAACATGGGCAAAAGGATGAATATTCATGAATTTTGAGAGATAATGCCACTAAAGCAGTTAGATGCAAGAGTACAGTTGACGTTACACAAAACAATTAGTAGGTCTAAAGTCCATTAACCAAACATGAGAATAAATACTTTAAACAATTATAATGATATATATTGCAAATTATTGTACCAAAGAGTTAAAAATCAGAGCCTTTTGCTATAATACCGAGTGCACATCTTTGCAATTAAGGGGCAATTGAGTTTTACACTGTAAAAACAAACCTTTATGGGCCCAGATCCATAGAGAATCTCTTTTTTGCTCCATTCAGTAAGTTACATTCTGAGCAGTATTTTTACAATAGAAAAAAAAACAACTGTTCTGCTTCATTAAGCAATTTGTAAATGAATTAAATGGTATCTCTGACAATACACCCTGTAAAAGAACCATTAATTTAATAATTCAAGTATATTAATTGTATTCTTTTAACAATTATTTTCTTTCCGGACGTGAATTAAATTGAGAATAGCCAGTATTAATACAACAAAACATTCTCATAGCAGAACATATTCTGTTACTCACAATAAAGAAATATTTAATAAGGATAATGCTCCCCCTCCCCTGTTATAATCAGTGCATTTGTTGGTACAGTTTCAAAATCTTTACATAAAACATTATCGAGGGACATCACACCTGCTTATCCCTATGTTGAGGCATTAGATTTAATTTACTTTCATTTAAAAGTGACAAAAGATGATAGACACACCATAACATAATTAAAAGCATAACTTGATTTGAATAGAAATATGTTGGTAAAGAACAAGACACAAAAGAAACCATTCAGAAGTGTGAATTCAGTACACGTATACACATGTAAAGATTTTATTTTGTCTCTTTGTAACTTTCATATGCTGTTACAAATAGGAGTTACGAAAATATAATATGAGTTCTCTTTATTCTCTGTTACAGCTTTGGAGTAACAGTAATAAATAGGGCACACTGGCGAAACAGATGTTTAACAAATTAACAAACAAATATTTTAAACAAAAGTTTATAAATAATGACAGTGACACACAGTAAACAACAAAACATAACATACTGTACAAGTTACTCTATTTACAAACAAGGCATCTCAGAGGCCTATGTCTTGACCAAGCAGAAAAAAAACCCAGACTGCTAGATCCTATGTAACATCTATATAATACCTATGCATGCCAACAAGAGAGATAAAACTGCCTTTTTCACTACACAGAATATAACCTACCATTACATTTCTCTATAAATCTGGATGCTATGAAGTGAATGGGAAACCTACAATATTTCCCCCATTCTAAAAATGCATCCACTAGCTAGGAAAGACTTCTTAACCTTAAGATACCGTATACCAAAAAATCATAGTTTCCTAAAAACAACAGAATGGCAGGCTCTTTTAACAAAATTCAAATACTCAACTCAAAACTGGTTGATTGGAACAAGGACCTCCTGCCTGGCACTGTCTCTTTTTCCTCCTTTTATCTTTCTCTCCTTTATTTCCTCTCTCCTGTCTTCCTGTCTTTTGCTTTAATATTTTATCCTGTGTTCCTGGACTGTTGATAACTCTTACGATTTACCAAGAACCTAATTAACCAAGGTAAACCAGAGGACTCCTTTTTTCAATGTGTCTCAGACCCAGTACGACTAAATAAAAACCTCTGTTCCTTTCTTGATTTGAAGCTTCAAAGAACTGCAAATGTTGACACTAGCTAATTGTTGACCACTGCCTATCTAGCTGCAACAACACATTACAGGTGCTTTTTTTCTGGAAAAAATGTATGACATCCTGATGGTAGAGGTCTATGACATTAATGCTTATTAAGTAGTTCTTTATACATTCATCTGTATTTTTATCCCAGGCAAAGCAGGGCTTCAATTTTATTAATATATTCTCTTTCCACCTTTCCTCATATGATAGCTCTTCAAAGATGAAAATAGACATAACGTTTATGTGTGGGTCCTTTACAAACACAGAGTGATGCTCACATTCTTTACAATTGTACCACCAGGAGGTTCCTTGCATGGCATCTAAGCACACCTATATATACCTACTGTGATATATTCTTTAATTATTTTTTTTACAACTGCACACACATGCTCATGCAGGCTGAAACACAGGCGCAATAATATTGATTGCATTTGCATCGCCTCCCTGACAAGAAATATGAGATTATTTTTGTTAGCTCCATTAATCTGGCATCTGCCACGCACGTTCCATAAATCATCCCCCCGCTGCAAAACAACTAATCATGCCCCGGCAGCAGTATTGATCAGTGCAGCCCTTTGGCTGAGTAGGAGAGGCTCTTTAATTACTTTGGCTGACTTTGGATTTTCATGCTGTCTGAGGATAGAAAGACACATCCATGCCTTAACATTGTTCAGCCTTCGTTTAAAATTAGAGCAGCTGTCTCCAGAGAGCTGCTGGTTTCTGTGGGCAAGTGCAGAATGCCGGTTGTTAAAATGGAAGGCCGAGCCCCGGATCAGTTTCGAGGGATGATGCAGAATCTTCTTCAGGGACCCCTCGGGAACTTGATAAGCCCTTCAATTTGCTTAGCCTGAGGAGTTTTGACCTTTAATTAAAAGAAATTTGTTGTCTTTCGTCCAAGAGGCAGGAAATAATGAACTCATTAAAATGAGGAAAGGAGTATTTAGTCCTTATAGTGATGTGAGCCACAGTCTCATTAGCAGCCAATAACTCAGAACACCACACATAAATACTGTTCATCTGCCATTGTGAAATGCATTGATGCATTAAATGTGAATGATTTTAAATGGGCACAGTCAGTGGTACCCAGAGATTGAAATTCAACCACAAATGTATATGGAAAATTAAGTGCTAAGGTCAAAGAAATAGAACATATACTATAAACAGTAAATGAAAATGAGGAAAATAAAAATAGTAACTATTTCCTTAACACAGAAAATGTACCTTGTGGTCATTTAAATTTGTTGAGATGGGATATCTGTACTTACAGTACTGCATTTTTTGTGTGGTTCATATTAAGAAAGTAAGGGATACAACATCAAAAGATAACACTTCCCTTACAACTAACTATATGGGTACATTCCCCCATTATTTGATTTATTGTCTTGCATGTGTTTAAGTTTTACTATCTGTACAGTTGTGTACAGGTAATTTATTAATTAAGAAGTGACTTTACTTTGTATATGTAAAATAATACCTCCTTTTCGAAATTGCTTATTACAGTCTTTCCATCATTTTCTATACTGTGATTCTGCAAATCTTTTAATGCCTCAATAAACAACACATACACCAATAAATGCATTTGCTGTGCAGCTACTGGAAGTAGTTTACTGTGTTGCTTTCCCATGTGTGAAATTTCTTGTCATAACCAAGGGCAGAATTTATGAGAAAATGAAATTCAATGAGGTTTTCTTTTGCACACTCTGATTCCTAGTGTTTTAGAAAACTTAATTTTAGTGCCTTACAGGTTCACAAAAATAAACCAAAAAATATTCAACTAAAAATATTAAATTAATGTTTTAACCCTATCTTTTTTTTAATACAGGCCCTTCTGGATATGCAGAATCTACTCCGTTCTCAAATAACAAATTTTACTTTCAACCTTGGATTTTCAGGAAAGTTCTACCACACTGGTAAGCTAATAGAGAGAGCTTGCTAGCCTATCACTCATGGATTTGTGTGTGCTATAGAGAGTGGTACTTTCATTATAGGACTCCATCACTAATATAAGGCAAGCAATGGCTTAGCTCCCACATGTAATAAATCTTGTTAGAGCCCCCTAAATTATTATACAGCACTGATCTCATTATAACTGACATAGGAAGAAAAAGAAGATATTGTTATAGTCTGCAGCATTTTTGCACATTTTGTTTATTTAATGGGGGAGTGGCTAGATATGTGAGTGTGAATGGCTCATAACAAGCAGGAAAACATGAGGCACAGCTCATTTCTCCTGGTTCCTGATGGAGTTTTGGCATATACAGTAAAATATCCTTAATATATATATTAATATCCTAAGGATTTTTTATAAATACAATGATTTAAGCCCACAGAAACTTGGGCATTGGGCAAACATTTGGCATCTTCACATACTTTTGCTTTATGCTGATGTTAATGCTGCAATTGATGTTGTATATTGTGAATCATCCTTTTGTTCTTTCTGTTGTAAAATGATCATGTTAAAGTGTCTCAAACATTAAGTATATATCATAAAAAACACAGAGCAAGAATACAAAAAGTCAAACCCCAAATCGTATGCTTCAACTAACTGCCTAAACACAACATTTAAAATACTTAAAGTAAATGCAGTTTTCAAAGGCTGATTTTTTATAAATGATATTTTGTTCTGAGAAGCCTCATTGAATACTGTAAGTCTACCAGATTAAGTAAATGTTACTAAATAAGTAAGAAAATGTTGAACAACCTATGGAAAGAAATATTTCCATCAAAAGAAAACAAAAATTATAAAAGTTGTGTTTCCTGTCTCTCAGGTACAGAAGAAGAAGATGAAGGGGATGACCTATTATTGAAATATGTGGACGAATTCTGGTGGTTTCCTCACATGTGGAGCCACATGCAGCCTCATCTTTTCCACAATGAATCTTCCTTGATGGAACAGATGATTCTAAACAAAGAATTTGCTCTGGTAAGAAAAGGGCTTTCAGTTCTTTTTTCATTTGTTTACAGTTGGTAAGAGCCAGCTGAATAAAGCAAGTTGTTAGTGTGATGCACCTAAGTTTGGGATAGGATCGTTTGCTTTAGAGTTATATAGCTTGGGCTACAATTTCATTTTTTTATAGTTAAGGATTTTATATTGACTTTAAAAAAAAGTACAATTTAAAGTCAGGTGGTAGCTGACTTTAGTTGACACTTGGTGTTCTCTTGAGAATAAATGATGCAGTGGTAGGTCAGCCAGGTTATGAATCAACATTTACGCTGCTGTAACATGGAGGATCTCCCACGCTAGCAAGTGTTTAGATAAGACCAGAATTACGTAAAGCTTACGTAAAACAAAGATACATACATGTATTAATGTATTTTACAGGTGTCATTAGATGGAGAGCTGCAGTATTCTCAGGAATAACGTCTTAAAATGAACTTTTCCATTTGAATTGAAGATTTTAGTACAGTATGCATATTTGGAATGCTTGTAAATTATAAGATTGTAAGAGGTATTATGGATCAGTCTTCAGCTTAAGCTTTATACTTCTGTCATACTGCATGTCAAATAGGCTATTGCAGTTTCTTCAGTACTTAGAAGACAAGCAAAATGAGACTGTCAATTTTATTACTTTCTCTAGCTCTGAATCAGAAGAATGCTTCACTCTGGTGCTACTGAGACTTTGTTTTCCTTGTTTTCTTGTTAGGATCTATACTAAAATACTTCAGGATTTCTCCACGGACATGATAGGGCAGTGCAGTCATTTCAACTAATTCTTTAATATATTCACAGCAAATGTTCCAGTCTGCTGATGCAAGACTTTTGTTCTAGCCTAAACTTAATTTAAAAAAAGTAGTTCCAGGACAAGGATTAGACCCTTTGTGTGTGGGATGCCTTTTCAAAATCCCTGAATTGGTTTCATAACACCTATTGCAGAAAGACAACCAGAAAGCAAAATTATTCTGAAACTTAGATCACAGCTTCCCCCTTCTTATCTACTCTGTCTTTTGTTGTACTACGCCTTAATCTTTGCAACTTTCCCTCTCTTCCTCACACCTGAAGAAGGCCCACAGCCAGGACAGTGTTTCCTTTCTTTTCTTAAAACTTTAAATATGGAATGAATCTTTACCGGTTCTAATATTAAAAAAGTACAATATTAGCAGAAAAATGTGTTGTTTACCAATGTATTACATGAGATATGCATTGTATTTTCTTGAGACAAATAACCTGTAACTTGGTCTGAAATTATAAAGTAGGCAGAAAATGCACTATACAATGTAATAAAAATTATCAGTCCATGAAATAATTTATGTGTGCACAGTACCAGACATTCATTTTTGCAATTACATTAATAGAATGATTCTTTAAATCAAAAAATGAGTTTTAGCACCATGCCTTGTCATTACCTTTTTACAAAGGCTCTGCAGTTTGGCAGCTGAGTATAGACTGATCTTCACAATAATTAAATACCACCTAGTCTGGAGGTAATGAGTCTAATCAAATAAGTGAACATCATGTGGTTGGTCAAGCATGTAAATACTTGTCTCTGGTGACTCCTGACTTGACTAAGGTGTCGGTTAGGTTTGTCATTGTGGGATAAGTCATATATTGGAATGTTCTATAGCAAAGGTATACATGTGAAACACCTTTATGAGGTGATAGCTGTTAAATGGCTAGGTTGTGACTCACTGACCAACATTTTTTTTTCCATTGCTCAAGGCCATGAATTCTTTCCATCTTTACATACTTTTTAAGTGGTTGTGTGGGTTCTTTAATTATTCATCCGATTGGTAATGCCTGAAGGGTTTGCATGTATATTTCATGAGTAATAATCCCAATTTAGACCAAGATTGTCCACATCTTGGTTCTTTGAACGAGGCTGTATCTCAAAGTGGGGTTAATCTTGCCAGTTGACTGTTTGCAATCTACAATGGGTATGGAGGTGTTTCTATTCTAATATGAAACAACAGGCAGGCTGGTTTGCATAATATTTTCAATTTGCACTATATGAAAAAAGTAGTGCTGGTTGTGAGCAGGTTTTTCTCAAGAGATTGTCTTTTTTCAGTTAACATATGCTTCAGTCAAATTAACCCATTACTGAAAGAGCTTTCCCTTTTCAAGGTCATCCTGTCAATTTTATAGAAAGGATTGCCCCATTGGGAACCATAAATAATAGATCCAGTACTCTATTTAATTCTATCTGATCCTGGAAAAAGAATACTTGTTAGCTGAAAATGTTATGTAAAGGCAAAAGTCCAATTAAATATAACATTGTTTTTGTACAGTCCTGTTATTTCTTTTAAACTTTAAGCACCATAGCTTTATTTAATAAAGTTAGGAGTGGATTAATGTTCAAATTCAGAAACTTATTTTTGAAGTTGTAGGATTTTGGTGTCATGTACTATACATATGTATTTGTGTACACAGTATGATTAGTATTGCTAAACAATAAATATTTTTCAATCCCAGTAAAATACATTCAATACATACATTATCACATATGATAAATCCTGGTTTAAAAAAACATAATGAAAAAAATAAGTTATATCACATTGTCAAAAAAATAGAGGACAATTAAAATAAAACACATAATCTTTTATAATATATTATAGATTAGTATACAGTATCATAAAATACCATTTATAATACCATTTGTCACTTTAAGAGTGTGGGTATACACCTGATAAGGGCTCCAGAAAATTAAAACAAGCCTGTAGGTGAAGGGGAAATTTTTTAAACCATAGTCTTGCCATAAACAATTTTATTCATAGAGGGAAAAAATGTTACATTATCAGTTATCAGTTTATTTTTGTATCATATTAGTCTGTCTGGTTGAAGGTTTTGATGTATGATGACATAAAATAAAATTTTAATTTTGTTGAATATTCATCATGAGAAATGCCCAGAATCAAACTACACTATGTATGCACAAGGAACAGTATTATATTGTTAATGTTTGTTCTGTTTCATAGCCTACTGGCTCTCAATATGGGAAAAGGGTGCTAAAAGTGCTATTGACTAAAGACAGAGTTAAGTAATAGTTAAATACAAATAATTACACCAGCTTGAATACAATCAGTTTATAAAAGACGAACTAGTAGGTTTATTCCGTGCTGAAAAAAAGAAGAAAGAGAACACAATGTTTCGGCCGTGGAGCCTTCTTTAGGTGTGACATAATAACGAACTATGTCACTGTGGGTTCTTTAATTTTAAGTAATAAAATTACTGCGGCTCATGTGGGTCCTAATGCCCCAGTGTAGTGACGGGGACACTATACTGTAAACAGGCGCCGTCCTTCGGATGAGACGTAAAACGGAGGTCCTGACTCTCTGTGGTCATTTAAAATCCCAGGGTGTTTCTCGAAAAGAGTAGGGGTGTACCCCGGCATCCTGGCCAAATTTCCCAACGGCCTTCTAACAATCCCCCTCTATAAAAAAATTGGCTTCATTACTCTGCTCTCCTCCCCACTGATAGCTGATGTGTGGTGAGCGTTCTGGCATTCTGGAGTGGAATGTCCAGCAAAGCGCTATATAAGTGTAAGCAATTATTATTATTAATAATAATTTGGTGTTTGAGAAAACAACCAGGCATTATCTCACAAAACACATTTATAACACAAACAAACACAAGGCACACAAGACATTATTTACAGAGTACTGTTTACAAAAAGAGTGAGTTCTGAGAGTCCAGTATTATACATCCTTCATTTTCCACTCTATTCCTAACACAATCTTAATGCACCCAGAAGTGTGCATAAATCTTTCTTGGAGTAAGTAAGATTGCTTCCATAAATTAAATAATCTTCCACAAGTGAGCCTGCACTCTACATGGTGCATGATGCTTAAAAAGGAGATTATTTTAGGCCTTTAACAAAAAGGCAACAAATAAATGAGAGTGACAATTATGGCTGGCACATTTACAAAAATAGTCCCACAAATATTAAAGAATAGCTGCTTTCCTTAAACGTACTCACTGTAGTAATACGTCCCTTCAGTGCTCAATACCTCATAGGTTTAGTACCTTAAGGAGGAATTTTCCTTGCTTGTCTCTTCTCCTCTCCTGCTCAGATGTTCTCTCTGTGCTTCTGTATATTGTTGTCTTTTTTTAAATTACTTTACAAAGGCACATGAGCAAGTGGTCATCTGTTAGACAATTTGAGCCTGATATAGGGTGCAGGTGTCTGTTTTCCTGCTAATACCACTGCTAGATATGAAGCAAACTAACACTACTGTTGTAGAAAACACCTCAATAACCAATTTATCAAATTACCGTTGCATTCCTTTGCAAAGTTGAGGTATGCTGTGCATTCATCGTCATACTCTTTCTGCCATGAAGGGATTTTTTTAAACCACGTGGGATTAAGAAAATAAGTGGCACTTGACTTGGATCAAAAAAGGCAAACCAGTCTTAAAAGTGCTCAGCACTTTAAAACCTGAGGGCCGCTGCTCGTTGTAGCTGTAATGTGAATTCCACTTGTTAGCTATGGGATTGTAACACTCCTTGTCTGTGGCAGTTTCAGATACATTTCCCAAAAATATTTGCAATGCCATGTATTAAAGCCATCTGATAGGATTAGTAATTTTACTGAATTCTTGATGGCTTAAAAACATTCAGCTTCAAAGCCAGCTTTAACATAAGTCTAAAGCTCTTTGAATTTAGTTGCATTCAATGTCATGTGTTTTAGCGTGTCCTCTTCGTCCTCCTCTATCAAACTCTGTGTACCTGGTATCTTTTTTTTTATTTAATCATTCACAAATTCTGGGCAGTGCTAAATATTCTGATATACATGGAATATAACTGTATTAAACTACAAATTCTACCTTGTAATGACGTTTTGACATCACCTGCAAAGGAGATCTGACATGTAATATGTCCACTGAAAGCCACTGAATTCTACCACTGAAAACCAGAGAGATTCCAGTTATTGTATATGAGCTCTTTTAAAGTCATTGTTTGTCCAGCAGCCATGTACAAATAAAAATGTGTAGAAAATTGTGACAATGAACTGTTGCATGCCCCTGTTGCATGACCTCTTATGAGGCCTTTTATAATCACTATTAATTTACCTATTCATTATTGTTGTATTCAGCATTTTTTTCCATTATTAACAAGTATTATTTTTTTCATCTGTGTGCTGTGCATTGTCATTGCTTATGTGAGAGGGGATCTTAGAATATTTAACCTGGCACTCATGATGTAGCACTCAGTCAGTCTCTTTGTCTGGTTAGTGTAACCTTGTCTACAGTATGTTCTGTATGTGTGCTGGATTGGCCTCAGCCCTGTGACACTTCAAACTGTTGGTGTGGAATTTCAATGGAAAATTACAGTTTGTTTCCTTTTTTTGTCGTTAGTGGCGATGGACTTAATGCCAGACTGTTTAATCACATGTCAATCACATTTAAAACGGAAATGTTCTTGCCCCCCACACCACTGGAGTAGTTGTGTGTCAGTGCCCTGTTGCATTGCATCTAATTGGAGTCTGAATGGTTTTATGATGTCTTGGGTCTTTATGACAGGCTCACTAGCAATAATTTGCTGACGTTCTTGGAAGGCATGTTCACACTTGGCAGTCTAATGTAATGTATGTCCTCCTTTTAATTTAAGTGAGTTTTGTGAGACAATTCTGTCTCTCTGTTGCAAACATCCTTCTTGTATGTTCCGAAAGAGAGGCCTTTATTACATCTTTGAGACTGTACTCCTGAGACTGTGAATCCTAAAGTTGTAGATCCTGTAATGTTTAATAAAAATCTAAATAATTTTAAAAATGAGAGCTCTTAGCTCAGAGAAACCATGACAAGGAGTTCTATTGCAGCTCCTGAAGTAACTGCCTTAGGTTTTATTTTGTGACTACCTGATTGCTTCTGTGCAATGTTTTCCAGGAGCATGGCATTCCCACTGACATGGGCTATGCAGTGGCACCTCATCATTCTGGCGTGTACCCTGTACATGTGCAACTCTACGAGTCATGGAAGAAAGCCTGGAATATCAAAGTGACCAGCACTGAGGAGTATCCACACCTGAAACCCGCACGTTACAGGAAGGGATTCATACACAACAACATCATGGTAATTTTCACAGTATACAGTAACAGTTACATTGATCGACTATTCCTTCAATCCTGAAATACTAATTTCCTGTAAGTGTAAGTGTAAGGAATTATTGGGTATATGTTTATAAATTATAGGTTGGCATAGGTTCTTCAAAACCTAGGGAGCCACTATGAAAACAATTCAGTATTAAGGCTTTGCAGGCAGATGTACAAAAGATGGTGAAAACAGCCTTCACCTTATCTATTTCTTTCTTTTCTGAGTGGTTGTCGATTGCAGATGTCACTCTGCCTGTGTCTTTTAATGAGCTGGAACCCAGTTCCTCCATGTCAGTTTCATCATCCTGCATTGAATGAGACTCTGCCTAGTGACATGCTGCTACTAGATACTGAAAGGATTCACTTAACATGATGGACAATTAAAAACAGCTTAAAATATTTTTTTATTGCTACATTTTTAGTATTAAAGAAGAGTATCTAGATCTGAATAGAGGAAATCTGTGTTTACTATACTTTCTTTTACTGCACACTGTATTTGACTGTGCATATTTTTAAAACTTTTGTTGTGTTTTTATTACCCAAGAATGAATAGGAAACCTGGGGGCTGCTTCACAAAGAGAGATTACTCAATTAACTGGATAACTTCAGTAAACATTTTTAAAAAGTCTGGATTTTCAGTTTCACGCCGCAAGATGTCATTGTATCTGGCTATATAACTATAGCAACATATCTTCTAACCTTCTCTGTGCTGGTGAACTCAAACTCAGCCTGTCTTTGTGGATAACAATTCTTCAGGAATCCAGTTGACCTTAGAGCTTTGGAGAGAGAAAGAAGGTTTAGAGATTGCCAAAACAGTTTCATCAGAGTATACTTTACATTCACAATCTCTCACGCCCATGCATTGTCACCACTGCTCATCATAGCTCATCATTAAAAAACTCTGTTCATAGGGTGGAGACTCCTTGTGGCTGATGCAGTTTTTTGCAGTGTTGGCGACTCAGGAGAGCTTCAGTAAAGCAACAGTTTGTCGTGCAATGAGGAAAGTGGTAAAAGTTTTTGCATATATTCAGAATGTTTCTTGGCCTTAAATTAGTGAATAACATCAAACAGGAATTTCATTAAAAGGCTGGAAATATTCTCATATATAGTTCTATCCAGTGTAAATGTAGCTTCTGTTCTCTGTAGCTATGCATTGTGATCAAAACATTTCTTACAACATTTCCTAATATAATAGGTACTGTACTCTAGACTGCACAGATATCCTCATTAAAGCCCCCCACAGGGCCAAACGGGGCATGTTTTTAACAGAAACTCACACTTTTAAATTCTACCCTTAAAAAATACGAACATTGATTTCACAAAAGACATTTTTGCCTGTTTTAAGGGGGGCAGGGCTCAACAATAATACTTGATTCACACAACAAAAATGAGGGGAAAATGACAATATCCTAATAAAGAAATGCTTTCTATGTCACTATGTTAATGTTAATGTTAATTCCTCCACCTCCAGTCTTGCTCTGCTCATGCATCTTCTTGTTGGCTAAAATTAGGAAATAAATAAATATTGAATGGAGTGTCCAGAAAAGCGATATATAAGCATAAGCAATATGCTAATATATAAGCAATAAGGGTGTGTCACTAAATGATGAAAGGTAGTTGTTGTGATATGACTCCAGTGTAGAAGTCTTAATGTTGGAAGTCTTTGGTGGGTTTTCTTCAAATTAATAATGCTTTTGTTGTGCAGTCTTGGTTATATGTGAAGGCAAACCTTTTTGTCTTTTTTAAATAAAGGCCAGGAAGCGTTCTGCACTTTAAAAGGCAATTTTTCTATATTTTTTTATGTGAAGGTCCCCAGAGCCACACTACCTGAAGCTGAGATCTTTCACATTGCGTAGTTTTTCATGGTACTTCTCCTTTTCTGGATTTTTCATCTCTGTCAAACTATATCCCTTACATGAGACAGCTCAAGCTTACTGATTATACTTCTATATACAATATATGAGCCGTGAAATATTGATTCATGGGAAGATGAATTAATTGCCTCAAAAGAAACAGCAAAATAAATAAATATGCTGTAAATTCAGGCAGTAGGCTTTACTTCTTCATGCCATTCATAACAAAAGCTAAAGGGTAATTCCACATAGAAATGGTAGGGTGAGATGGAGAAGACAGGAATACAAGGGAGAGTGGTGAGATGGGGAAAGCAAAAGAAACAGAAAGTGAGAGTGGCTTGAAATTAAGGAAGAGGAGCAACAAGACAAATCCAACAGAAAGTGTGTATAGCAGCAACCTGTGAACTGGAATGATTTTAAACAAATAGCCAATTGTTAAGTGTTTGGCAGAATGTGTGAACCCAGTCTACCAATTTTGTTTGTTTGGTATTTGTCTTGCATAGCTATGATTTCCTGTGAAAACTCAGCGAGAGAGGTCAGTGTAATCATAATTGGGAGAGCTATATGAATTCTATTTAAGATTATGTTTTTTCTTTATTAAGGTAAAACGATAAATTCTGTCAGCTTTAAGAGATCAGGGGATGTTTACAAAGTTAGAATTTAATTAACACTGAATTTGTATGATCTGAGAAAATGGCAGTTTTCCTGCGGTTAATTGGTACTTAATTTAAATTCTAAGAGAGCACTGAACTGCTCAGCTCTGTTAGCAGTTAATTTTAATGTGATACAGTCCGCCCATGGCATAAGCAGTTTATGAGCAAAACCCATGCTTGAAGTGTTTTGATTCCAGTGTTTCAAGTACAAGCTTATTGGAGTAAATCTTTTGGCTGGTAAATAATTCAAGCCATACATTTAGTGTATTCAGTGGGGAGCAAAGTAAAAATACAGACCATCAGTGTAGAGAGATCTTTGATTCTCACTGCTCTGACATGTACTCAGAAACAATTGGCCAGTCTTCTATTTCCCTGATGAAAATGGCAATACACTTTCTGGAAGAGGTGAAAAATTTGAGATTTCTGGAAAAGTACGTTGCCCTCTGGGATTTTCAGAAGTGGCCAGAGAGACCATGTAGATGTATACATTTAGGTAGTGCATTTTCAAGCAATAGAGCAGCAGAAAGTACCAGCATGCATAGCAACTGTGGACAGTTAAAGTAACTGTGCATGAGGGTTACTATTTCTATTTAAACACTGATCTTACTGTTGATCTTAATTCAAAGTCAGTTCCCACCATATCAAAGGAAATATTGAAGGCACTTCCTCAATATATCATTTTAATCTGATTAACCGCACCCTGAAAAACTTTGCAAATGACATCAAAAACAAGTAGAACCTACTGTATAAAGACTGACAAAATGAGTGTCTGGTAAAAAGTCTTATAGATGCAAGAATAATTTTATTTTTTTTTAGTTCCAGGAATAAATACTATGTGAGATGAAAACAGACTGTGATTGTTAAAATGTTGGACAAATATTCAGGTGGCAAGTTGAAGTTTTGGAGCTATTCTGATGGAACACACATGGGAGATATACAGTGGTTAAGGCAAAATACTAAACTGTTTTCTGGAACCAGTGCTTCCAGAAAGCTGGAAGGATTTGTTTTTTTAATATACTTTAAGTGACTTTAAGCTTTTGGTCACATTATATCAAAGGTACAGGGACAAGAAAGACAAGAAACAATTTTTGTCTTGATTCTCCTGTTGTGGACATGACCAAACTGCCATAAGATAATCTTAACAGGACAGTGAAAAGATGCATCCTAAGTAAGCTCTGGAAGGCTATTATGACTAAGTGGACAGTGATGCACTACTAGATGACAATACTCTGCAACTTCATGCAGTTGTTATTGCTAACAAGGAGCTGTATTCGCTCAAGAAATTTTAGCAATAAGCTAAAGGGAAAACATGTCTACTGAAGCATTTTCTTTTGGATGATTAATGTATTTTTATACAAATCAAAAAATTATGCCTGATACTTTTGTTTTCTTGGTTTTCAGTATTTTTTTAGGTTACCATAATTTTGAATGACTGTGTGTTTATAAATACCCTTTTACCCTTTAGATATTTAATATACAGTCTTTCTGATAGACATCACTGATATCTAAGATGCAATATTTCCCCACACAGTAATGGGCAGAATGCAGGTACTAACAATTCTTCTTCACTTTAATTCAGTACCAAACTGGATAAGAATCATCCCCAGTGGGAATGTAGCGACGTTTTGCCTTAAACTTCATCCTTCTTTCACCCTGCCAAAGACTAGGCAAGTAAAGTTGCCTATGATTGTCAGCTGCAATAATTATTTTTCTATACATTAGTAAGTGGTGGGCCAGTCCCAGAGCACATTGTGAAACACAAAGCAACCATGGAGCAGAAATACATTTATCACTACTGCCTGAAAAACAGAAAACTGCCTTTAGTTAATAACTGAATTGCTTTCTTTTTTTGTTTTGTTTTTCTCTTGCATGTCAAATGTATTTATTTCTGTGAATAGTAAACTGACATTTGAATTGAATGCTTTACATGTAGTAAGCACAGTGCACAAAATCCTACTGCCCTACCATACAAAAATAAATGACATCTTAGAATTAGATTCTAAGCGTATCTGTATGAGAAATGTTTCTGAACTTTAGTCATATCAGAGATTGCACGTATTTTCAAAAACTGGCTCAAAATGCCATTAAATACCATGCTTTCTTTAAGATATTTGATAGATATTGGTAATGTTTTGACAGTTTAGAATAACAACAAGGGTTTACAGAGATTAACATTTTTATTTACATAATAAAGCTGAGATGAACTTAAGATCATACCAAAAAATGTAAAAGCCAAAATACTGACCCATTGCAGGACAGAATTAATGTTTTTTTACTAAAAATACTTTTACATCTTTGTTCACATGAATTTCCAGAGAAACGTAAAGAGCAACTTTAAGTACTCCTGACAATATCATCAGTTTTATTTCTTCTCTTATACTTTTGCCAGTATTGGCATTACTGAGATTGTTCACTCACCATTGAGATTGCATTACCACATCTACGTTTTTCTTTTAAGTTTTAAAATACTTTCA